CGCACCCCGCCTAGGGACGTGGTAAGTCGGGAAGCGGTGCGGAGGTGCTGTCTGCTCAGTGACTCTCCTCTCTTCCCTTCTGTCCCGCCCCCCACCCCCACCCCCGCACGCTTTCCTGGCTCGCAGGTAGAGTCCTGGGGGCAGATTGGCCAATGTTGAGATGTAAAAATTCTCTTTAAAACCCTAGGCCTTCCAGCTTCGAGAATTTGAGAGTTCGCCAGGGGTCTGACCCCATCCCTTCGTCAGCCTCAGTTTCTCCCAGCTAGCCCCTCATTCCCAGGTGTCTTTCGTGCCTCTCCCCATGACTTATCTAAACTGCAAAGTCCTGGTGTAAACAATTCGCTGGTAACTGCCCACCCTCTTCAACCCCAAACTCACTGTCAGTCCATGGCTGGGGGTTGGGGACGGTGGTGTTAGAGACGCCAGAGTGTGAGTGGACGGGGCACAGCTGGCTTTAGTGAGGCTGCAGACTCACAGAGGCAGAGATAGGGGAGAAGGGCTTAGAACCATTATCCCCTCTCCCCACCTCTCACTTCTTTACCCCACTTTCTGTGGTAACGGGGCCGTTCCTGTACTCGGGGCCGAGTAAGCTCCCCTTAGCTCATCTCCACTTCCATCCAAGGGCCAGTAAAAATTCAACATCATTCAGCCACATATAGCTGAGAATAGAGCGAAAAATAAACCCTAACTCTAAGTGGCTCCAATGAGGAGTAGAGCAAGAGGTGAGATGTCAAGGGTGAGAGGAGACCCTTCTTTGGGCACCCACTTTTAAAAGGGCAGGAGGCTGTGCTGCCAGTATGGGGAAGAGAGAAGATCTGGCTCTGCTGGCTGGCTAAAAGCTGTCCTGCTGGAGGCCCCAGGGAATGTGGCAGCCTTGGAGACCCTGAGTTTCTTCCTCAGGTCTCTATTGACACTGCTCACTATGCCTGCAGCATGCAGCCTTGAACCCCAGCAGAGCCTAGTGTACCATCCTCAAGCGGATTTATTGTATTTGCAAGAAAATGCCTTGGGAGACCCTTTTGCACCTTCTGTGTCATTTAGGATGCTCTGGCCAGTGTTTGGCACACAACAGGTGCTCAGTAAGTGCTGACTTGACTCCATGCCTGGCCCTCCAGACCAGAACTTAACTCCTCTTCCTGGCTCCCATAACTCAGAGTGGGGGTGGGGGATAAGACCTGGCTCCCATAAGTCAGAGTGGGGGTGGGTTAGAAACTGGCCTGAGCTCTGGCCTTGACCCTTTGCCTGGAAGCCCCACAACAGGCCCTTGCGTGAGGAGCTGAGCTCTCCAGTAGTGTCTAGGACCTTGAGACTGGAAGTTTATTTTGAGATTTGAAGCTCCAAAGTGGCAGATCCCAGAAAACCTCTTCTCTGGCTCCGAATTTGTTCTCTAGTTAAGTGGTTGAGTGTAGCTCTTGCAGTCAGCTGGCTCCTACAGCCTGGGGTTCCTCCTGGGGAGCTGGGGACTCAGAGGGGAGGAAAGAAAAAGGAGGAGCAAAGACCCATCCTGGGTTGTCCCCCTGTAGGGCAGAGGTGGCCTGTAAGCTGTGGAGAGAAGTCTTGTCCCCTCACCCACTTCCCTCCCTCTCAGAGCTGCTGATGTTTCTGGAGGCCTCCTCAGCTCAATAACATGCTTTAATAGTTGAGCATCTATGTTGTGCCAAGACAAGGTCCCGCTTGACTATGAAGACAGCTGAAGCCAAAGAAAGGGGCTGCAGAAGTGAGTTTGGGGCCCATGTGGGCGAGTCCACTCAAGGTTAGGACTGATGTGATCATCTCCAGCTCCCCACCCCACAACCCAAACCCATATGTAGAAATAAACACATGGCCAGAGTCACACCCAGGTCTAAACACACAGGGGAGTCTGGGAGAGGCTGCTGGAGCTGCCCTGCTTATGGGGTGGGACTGGGCTTGGAGGAGGTGAAAGAGTGGTCCAAGGAAAGGGGCCTGGCCAGGAGTGAGCCTAGGCTCACTCCTCTCCCACCTGCCCCTCTCAGGGAAATTCAGCATAGAGCCTGTGCCTTTCTAAAGAAATTGCAGGGCCAATTGGAGCCTACCTGACAGAAAGAGAGAGAAGAGGAGGGAAAAGAGTCTGCTGGCTGGCAGAAGGGGATATGGTTCTGGTTCCTGTGACCAGAATGCTGGCCCTGCATGGTCTCTGTATTTCAACGCTCTCCCACTCCCATCCAACTCCACCCCAGCTCCCACTTTCCACACCCCCATTCCCAGAGTGGTAGGCACCCTCTACCTTGCACAACTTGGACCACTTCTCAAACCTTACCTATTTCTTCCTCTGTAGCTCACTCTCCAGCTGCCTGGCCCCCTTGCTGTCCCCTGCACACTCGCTCACTCCTGCCCTAGGTCTCTGTACTGGCTCTTCCTCTGTGGGAAATGTTCTTCCCCAAGAATCTGCCTGGCTGGTTTCCTCAGCTCCTTCAAGTCTTTGCTCGTGCCTACCCTGATCATCCTAGTTACAGTTGTGACACATCCTCTTTACTCTGCTCTAATTCAACAAATATTATGTGCTAGGATCGTGCTTGGCACTACGGACACATCCTCAAAGCAAAACAAAACAATTTCTGCCCTCATGGAGTTTAGGTTCTTTTGGGGGAAGATAGACAATAGACAGTAAACATCAGACACAAATATATAATATGTTAGAAAGTAGTAAGTGCAGTGGGAAAAAATAGAGCAGGGTAAAGAGGATGTGTCACAACTGTAACTAGGATGATCAGGGTAGGCACGAGCAAAGACTTGAAAGAGCTGAGGAAACCAGCCAGGCAGATTCTTGGGGAAGAACATTTCCCACAGAGGAAGAGCCAGTACAGAGACCTAGGGCAGGAGTGAGCGAGTGTGCAGGGGACAGCAAGGGGGCCAGGCAGCTGGAGAGTGAGCTACAGAGGAAGAAATAGGTAAGGTTTGAGAAGTGGTCCAAGTTGTGCAAGGTAGAGGGTGCCTACCACTCTGGGAATGGGGGTGTGGAAAGTGGGAGCTGGGGTGGAGTTGGATGGGAGTGGGAGAGCGTTGAAATACAGAGACCATGCAGGGCCAGCATTCTGGTCACAGGAACCAGAACCATATCCCCTTCTGCCAGCCAGCAGACTCTTTTCCCTCCTCTTCTCTCTCTTTCTGTCAGGTAGGCTCCAATTGGCCCTGCAATTTCTTTAGAAAGGCACAGGCTCTATGCTGAATTTCCCTGAGAGGGGCAGGTGGGAGAGGAGTGAGCCTAGGCTCACTCCTGGCCAGGCCCCTTTCCTTGGACCACTCTTTCACCTCCTCCAAGCCCAGTCCCACCCCATAAGCAGGGCAGCTCCAGCAGCCTCTCCCAGACTCCCCTGTGTGTTTAGACCTGGGTGTGACTCTGGCCATGTGTTTATTTCTACATATGGGTTTGGGTTGTGGGGTGGGGAGCTGGAGATGATCACATCAGTCCTAACCTTGAGTGGACTCGCCCACATGGGCCCCAAACTCACTTCTGCAGCCCCTTTCTTTGGCTTCAGCTGTCTTCATAGTCAAGCGGGACCTTGTCTTGGCACAACATAGATGCTCAACTATTAAAGCATGTTATTGAGCTGAGGAGGCCTCCAGAAACATCAGCAGCTCTGAGAGGGAGGGAAGTGGGTGAGGGGACAAGACTTCTCTCCACAGCTTACAGGCCACCTCTGCCCTACAGGGGGACAACCCAGGATGGGTCTTTGCTCCTCCTTTTTCTTTCCTCCCCTCTGAGTCCCCAGCTCCCCAGGAGGAACCCCAGGCTGTAGGAGCCAGCTGACTGCAAGAGCTACACTCAACCACTTAACTAGAGAACAAATTCGGAGCCAGAGAAGAGGTTTTCTGGGATCTGCCACTTTGGAGCTTCAAATCTCAAAATAAACTTCCAGTCTCAAGGTCCTAGACACTACTGGAGAGCTCAGCTCCTCACGCAAGGGCCTGTTGTGGGGCTTCCAGGCAAAGGGTCAAG